TATATTATATAATACATATATATAGTATATTATATACATATATAATATATTATATAATACATATATATAGTATATTATATACATATATAATATATAATATATTGTATATACAGGAAAGAAACCTTAAGAGTCGCACGTACCTTGGATTAAAATTTCCCGAATTTTGTATTATGCCGAATCTTCCTCCGCGATTTCCTCTTGTGCTTCGACCTCTTCCACGGCCTCTGGACGCCAGTTTGGATGGTTCACACGTGACCACGTTCTCCAAAGTATCCGGTATGTGATTGTTCATTTTCGAAGAGACGATGGTTCTTTCATTTTGAAACCTGTTCCTCCTTTCTTTAGCTTCTTCGCATTCATCATCTTCCAGTCCCTGCCCATTCCCAGAATAGATCTTTGCATTTTTCTGCAGCTTCTCTCGTAGATCTCCCCTTTCAATGTTACTCGAAGCGTTGATGTTATCGATCGAGGGACGTTCATCGTGCTGTCGGACTTGCTCGCTCTTGTACTCGTGAATCTCGTCTTGTTCGTAATATTTCGACTGAGCCTCTAGCTGATCTCCGTCCTCGTAAAAATCGTTCTGGTTGCTCCTATCAGTTTTGCTTCTATTAAATTCTATGTTTTCGTCTTCGCCATCTAAGTCGTCGAGCGCGTCGGTTACTCCTAAGTCCAGTACATCATCTGTCTCCTCTTCTCCCTTATAGCTATTCTGCTGCTCAGGGAATTAAATTGCCAAATTCATTTGTAATGCATATATAATATTTAGCCGTGGTCGTTACAATCTACAACTTAATATGTCAACTATATATGTCTATGTTTATATTGTATCAATCAATGTGAGTGAGAAGTTACTGTTCCATGATTTGAAAACGAGCATACCGCATATAACAAATACGTTTGAAAATATACTCGCATACCGTTCCTCCTCTACCTTCGCTTCTACTCAATTTCAAACTTTCTCCTCCTCATTCCGATTCTGTTCCTGCTTGTTTATTATCAATCGCTGGTAACAGAGATTTACACGGCAGAATTGTTTCATCGCAAATTCCTCACTGTTAATCGTCTTATTATTTATAATTTATGCAAATGGGTATATTACCGTGACAATCAATTGAAGTAGTAAAATATTATTTTTCTCAACAAACGCGACAGTATGTTTGATACCTCGCAATACGAAAATTGTTATAAACGTATATCATACAATATGTTACAATATCAGGTTGCAGTAGCATGATATATTGTCAACAATATGTTTCATATTATATTCGGCCATACATTACATAACGTACATACATTTATTTTATTTTATTACATATTCAATACAGTCGTATTATTTTGAATAAATTACACTAGGAAGCATTGTACTGCATATTTCAACTCTCTTGGAATATTTCATGCTACTTTCATGCTTTTTGATAAAAATGGGAATAGATACATCATTTCAAATTAATTATCTATGCGCGTTGATGATACCCAGATACGTATAAAATATGTACGATGTATTGTTACAATCGTTTAAAAAAAAAAAAAAAAAAGAAAAAAAAAGAAAGATCGATATTACCTTTTTACAATACCATGTTGTCACAATAATTTTTTTCTCACAATTTTTGAGTGTTTTAATGAAAGAATTTATCACATAATGAGATTTCATTGTGAAAAATTATACATTCTTTATTGTTGAAATATCGGTATCTGCAGAACAATGGTTGTTACATTTAATTTTCCCAAGAAGCAAAATGCAATTTTTTTATCTTTGCTAAAGTATAATATCCTGTGAGACCGAGATCTTAAACAGACTTTAAAAAAATCTATATAAATACACCTATATACTACAGTCATTTGTACATCTTTTGTTCATAAAGACTTTCATTAAAACACACAATTCTTGATAACATGTTGGAATATACTATTTGTAATAATTGTAATATTTAAATACGTACATTATAAATCACAGAGGTCAATAGTGCTTTAAATTTGTTGTGAGACTACAAACAGCACATTAACAAATATTACTGTTTACAATATCTAACAATTGCGTTCTTTTTTTTAACAAACAGGGAAAAGGAAACATAATAAATACAAATAACATAATAAATTAATAAGTGTTATTATGTAAAAATTCTCAGTGGTCACTAATATGCAAAGTTTAATTAGTATTAAAAAAAGTAATTATGAAATTTCAAATAATAAGAAAAATGCAAAAAGCAATTATAGTAAAAGAATAAGAGTTGTTTACTGTAAACAATACCATGATACAACATGAATATCAAGAATAAATATCAATTGATTATCTTTCATTTTCCCTGCATAAATATTTATTAAATAAGTGACGTATCAAGATTTACATGACATATTTTATGTTTCATTTTCACATCTTTTGCATTTTATAATGAAATTAAAAAATCTCGTGATCAATTTTATAAATCCACAATTAATATGAAGTATCCATATAAAATATAAAATTTTCGCCTACGCAAAAATATTTTAATAACTTTCACGCATTTGCTTTGAACTTTGAATACAATCTCTTACAATAAGCATATTATATTTTGCGCTCACAATTTAGTAGAATATTTATTTTACCCTAAAAAAAAATTCTATACATGACTAAATAATACCTTGTGTCTAGGACAATACTCTCATACAATAAAGAACATATATACTTGATGTTATGACTTTAGATTTGTTTATCTTTGTCACAATATACAAAGTAATAAGATAGAATTAAATAGAATTCTTCTTGCTTGCTGAAATATATTGTTTATGAGATACATGAAGATAGAATATCACAATTGATTAATCCAGTTGTACTGATAATTAATTTTTCTGTAAAGTTTAGCAGAAACGTCAGAAAAATCATAGAGAGTAAACCTTAACAAACTATAATTTTCATTTTAATTAATGAAGCAATATGTATTGATTAAATGATAATGCAACAGCAAATGAAGTAAAAAGTTCTTAACTTTCTAACTGAAATTAATGGTTTTTAATATATTCGTTTCGAAACTTGGACATTGTATCATATCACATTATGGCTTTGTAAAGAACTAATTTTCATTTAACAACAAAATAATGGTCCAGCAATATGCTCACCCTCTCTAGTTCATAGTCATCTGCTAAAAGTGCCTCTTCTTCATCGTTGCCTAGATCATATTCTTCATCTCCAAGATCTTCATCCAATAGAGTATCATCACTGAACAAATAGTTGTTAAAAACATTAATAAAATAATGATTTTTTTATTAAAAACTTATTTTGCAATAAATTATAAAATTAATAATTATAATACGATACAATAAAGTACAACCTAAATACTTGTTCATTTTCTGTATTTCTTCGTATTACGTGCATCCTATACATTTTTATGTATGTAAGTTTCTTACAAATGCATATATATTACGTATATTAATCATATTTTCTGACAAAAAATAAGCACTTCTAAGTTCTGTTTATACAAATAAAATTACTCCAACTTCATATTACACAAGTAAAATCAAATTATTAAATATATTCAAAACTTGTAAATGTTAATTTCTCAATTAATGTACAGAAATAATAAATACATATTGAAATACAACAGTATCTTATCATTACAACTCGTAGAAATTAATCATACGTGCAACAAAAAAATAAAATAACATTTATTAAAGTAATACACAATAAGTGTAGACAATATTTTCCTAGATATTCAATTTCTTTGATATCCTACAGATACAATTTTACGAAATAAACTGACTGCAAACATAAAGAATAAACAAGTCATAAAAAAAATGGAGTGCAATGGATGATGGAGAAAACACAATGTACGTCACTATTAACAGTGATTATAACTCTAACCTCAAATCAAAAATTACGCGAAAAAGATAATAAAAATGAAGAGATAGTAAAATTATAACTGCATGCAAGATAATTAAGAGGTTAAATGAAATGCTAAAGTTAGATCAAAACGTTAATTCTCTATTATGGAAAAAGGAATATTTCTTACTGTTCCGACATTGTACATCCACTTTTTGATACTTGAGGGAAAGTCTGCAATCTGTGATGGCTCCGATATACCGAGCGTTGCGTGGGTCACATCGATTGTTCACTTTCGAGGTATCAACTTCATATATCGAAATCTCGAAGTAATGTTGAATCCAATATCATAACAAGTATAGCACGTGTTACCTCTGTATATTGAAATAATTTCAAGTACCACATAAAATAATCAAAATTAAACAAAGTACAATGTATAAATTATTAATTTAGTTATTAGTGGAGTAATGGTTATATTTTATTTTGTATATAAACAAATAGAAATAATTTCAGTACTTTAATGTGTATTATGTATTTATGTATATATATATGTATCTATATTTGTATTTACATAGTACATAAACAATATAATATATGCCTATATGTAAGATATAAATAGATCAGAGTGTTAATATACAATTTAAAAAAAGGAATGGCTTATAATGTTGTATCACTGTATCACAAATACTTATATAAACACTCTATAAATAATAATATATTATCAGATTTGCATAAACATAATATAAAATTAGTACAAAAGATCTTTCTACACAGTAAGCCTGCTATAATTTTAGGAATAGAATCTAGCTGTGATGATACAGCTTGTGGAATTGTTGATAGTAATGGAACAATTTTGGGTGAAGCAATTAGTTCTCAATATTTGACCCATTTGAAGTAATTTGTTAATTTTTCTTATATAGCATTTCATACAATTTGACTGATAATTTTTGCATTTTATCTAAAAATTTCAATACTGTTTAGTTTTGGAGGAATAATCCCATCATTCGCAAGGATATTACATAGAAATAATATTACAAAAACTTGCGAAAATGCTTTGAAAGCTGCAAATTTAAAGTTAAAAGATATTGATGCAATAGCTACAACTGTAAAACCTGGCCTTCCTATGTCGCTTAAAGTTGGAGCACAATTTGGAAAATATCTAGCAACAGTTGGAGAGAAACCTTTTATACCAATACATCATATGGAAGCTCATGCTTTAACAGCAAGAATGAGTGAAAAGGTCTTTTTATAAACAACAAAAGTCTTTTATAACATTTGATCAGTTACACAAGAAAGACTTAAACTCTTAATTACAGATTGATTTTCCATATCTTATTTTATTGGTTTCCGGAGCTCACTGTTTACTAGCAATTGTTAAAAATGTAAATAAATTTTATCTACTGGGTACTTCTATTAATAATGCACCTGGGGAAACGTTCGATAAAGTAATTATTGCAACGTTTTGATATTATTTTGTGTTTAATCTATCATACTTCTTTTAATGTATTTTCTAATATATTTTTAATTCACACATAATGAATAGTAAATGTAATTATTTCTGTCATTTGATATAAAATAATATAAATTTTTCATCGATTACAGATTGCACGAAAACTAAAGTTAAGAAATATACCAGAATTTAGTACGTTAAATGGAGGTCTAGCTATAGAAACTGCAGCAAGTAAAGCATCAAACATAGACCAGTTTTTATTTCCACCTACAATGACAAAATATTATGATTGTAACTTTAGTTTTTCTGCACTCTTTTCTGTTTGTGACATGTACATTGAATTAGAAGAAAAAAAACATAACATAATTGGTGATGCAGTGATTCCCGACGTATATAACTTATGTGCGGCACTTCAATTAGCTACAATAAAACATATTTGTCAAAGAACTCAAAGAGCAATGGAATTTATTAATAAAATGTCATTATTTCCTGAAAATAAACGGACATTGGTATGTTAAAACTGGTGTTAATATTGTAATTTTAATTTGATATATGTATTTCGTTTTTTCATTGAACAGGTTGTATCTGGCGGAGTAGCATGTAATAATCTTTTAGCTAAAGCATTAAATATCGTGTGCACAGAATTAGGCTATAACTTCGTAAGAACTCCACCTAAACTGTGTACTGATAATGGAATAATGATAGCATGGAATGGAATAGAGAAGTGGATTAGAGACATAGATGTTATCAAAGACTCAAATGAAATTGAAAAGATCGAAATAGAAAATACGGCTCCGCTTGGAGAAAATTGGATAAAAAAAGTAGAAGAAACGAACTTAAAATGTAAATGGGTAAAAATAAGCAAGAAGCTCTTTCCAAACAATTTAAAAAAATAACGTCAAATATATTTATTTATTATGTTTCAATTTGTATATATTATTTTTTAAAAACTATATTTCCGTTTTAATTATATAATTCATTGAAATACAATAAACTATACAAATGTTGGCGCGTATTGTTGCAATTGTTGTTTTAATTTTGTACGTAAGCGATCTTCATCTGAATCCATTTGAGTAGAAATTTTTTCTTCTTCATACTTGTCAATAATGTATCTAATCTTCTTTTTAATTTCCTGTATTTCATTTGTATTTTTTAAAATTAAAGATGTTGGTATAATATCATCAAATTGCAATACTTTTTTTGGTTGAATTGATTCATCGAATTCTGAAAAGAATTCTGATAAATTACTTAATTTTTGTTCAATTTCACCATATATTTCACTTGCTCCATTTGTATCCATTTTATTTACTATAATCATTGTAGGTCTATCTAACAAATCAGAATTATAAAGTTCAATCTCTTTATTTAATAAGAGCACGGTCTCTAGGCAAGATTTATGTTTATGTTTAATGGAAAGTTGACATCCCTGAATGTCTACAATAAATAATAATAATTTTGTTCTCTCTATGTGTTTTAAAAATGTATGACCCATTCCTTTATTAAGAGATGCACCTTCAATTAAACCTGGTAAATCTGCAACTGAAATTTGTCTGTGATCTTTATATTTTATAATACCTATCTGCGGTTTTATAGTTGTAACTGGAAAAAAATACACATATAATAAATAAGAAATAACACGATTAATGAGTAGAGAAAATAAATAATGTGTTTCATACAAAAGTAAACTTACATGGATAATCTGCAATCTTTGATTTAGCATTTGAAATTACATTTAAAAATGTACTTTTTCCTGCATTTGGAAACCCTATTAAACCAACGTCAGCAATTAACTGAAGATCAAGGACTATAGTGCGACTTTCGCCTTTAAGAGAACAGAAACCTGTCCTTTCGCATCCTCCTGTTCCACCTTTAGCAACCAACAATTTTGTATCCTTTGAATTCACTGTTCCTACATTTTCACAAACGATTATGAATAACTGTTATAATTCATTCAACTAAATATCAAGTTGTTCATATACATTACCAAGTTTAATGCGATTCTGATCATAAACAGTGATGCCAATTGGAACTTTTATATTTAAATCCGTTCCAGGTGTTCCGATAAGTCCTTTCTTGCTACTATCGCTTCCTGTTCCTGCTTTTAATTTCAAACCTTCTAATTTGTATTTAACATTTCGTAATGTTATTTTTTCTTTTGGAACAAGATATACATTTCCTCCTGCTCCGCCTATTCCACCATAATTTGGTAATCCAGAACCGCCGGTACCTCCAGTTACATGAATACGTAGACTGTCGACTAATCCTTGCCGCAAAAATTTCCTTGGTAACTAAACAATTAATCCATTAATCGACATTCGTGCGTATTTATTATTATTAATTAATACTAATCAACTTGATGAGAACGGAATACCAAATACGTCATTAATATTAGATTACCTTTGCCGTATAACCTAGAATTCGTGTCAGTACGACCATCTTTTCTCAACAATTTCCGTGAAAGACTAAACTCGCAAACGAAAGGGTATGTATTATCGATATCTTTAACAAACTTTGTTGATATCATAATATCAGTTGTCGAATATTAATTTTCATTGACACGTCGTAGTTTCAAACGAAAACATTCACAACATTATTTGAATAATTCGCTAGATGACGCTGATAAGTTCACGTACATAGTTGGATGCTCAAAAGTGAAAAAACGATTTTGTGAAAGTTCACAAGTTTTATTGTCAAATTTACAATAAATTTACAAAAAAGAAAAACATTAGTTCAGACGGGAATATTATCTTCTCAATATTCTGTTAAAAAAAGAGCTTTATACTTCGATGATATTTCACTAGATTTCAAATTTCTTATATCACAAACAGAATATTTGAATTATATTTTAGTTATTTAGAATGCGATATATCTCTTCAGTAGTGTATCATTGATTGCTGTAGAAACATTACATATTTTGTAAATGCCTGTCAATTAAAGAAAACCATTTTTAACACAGGCAACTGGCTACAAAATTGGATGTTCTTTTTTATGTAATCAATGTCATTAGAAAATACAATGAAAGTTGATTGAAATTGAACAGCAGCGACAATTTGTCGTGGAATCGATATTTTTCCTGTTTAGTTTGAAGCTCGTACGTACGTGCATGCACAATGATAGATGTTCGGAAGAAATTTCCATGATCTCAAGTAAAAAGAAAGCTGACAGAAAGAATAGACGTTTTTGAAGTATAGCACCTTTGCATCGCCTTTCGTTAAGTTTCAGTTGTAAATAAAAGATGAAGTTAAAGTGAAAAGGAAAGAAAGAAAAGAAAAAAAAGATACGAATGTCTTCGGGAGATATTTGAAGTCTAAGATATTAGAAGTCTAATAGTTAGAAACTATCCGGCAGGATATGCTATCGGGTCAAGTGAAATCAATTGCGAAGTTTAGCAAGAATTAATTGATGCAGAAATATAGGAGAGTAGAGGAGTCGAAGGGGAAGAAGAGGCGATGCATTAACGTAGTTGTGTTCGTTGTTAAAGGAAGTCGGAGGCTCGTCTAACGACGTACGCGTTAAAATTAAATCCAGCCGGAGGCCGACGGCTACGTCTTGCCGACGGCGACGACGACGTCGCGACGTGATGCGTCCTCTAGCTCAGTCTCAAGAGCACACCCCGACTGTACGGATGTTCTGATCTTCGATATTTTTCCTCCTATATTTCCGTGCTTTTTATCGTCGATTTCATCGGTAACACGTCCGGTACATCCTTTCGTAATCAGCTGTATAAGTGGTGCAGACTCACCCATTCAGAAACAACGAACTATTGCCGAACTATTCTCTTCGTTCTATTTTTCCTATTTTCTACTTCGCTTGACCACGAGGTAATTAAAAATGTTATGCTTTTTCTTGTAACAGCCTTTTGAACTCCTTGTTGACGTCAATGGACCATGTCCTGATTTTTCACGGTCGACCATTTATTGGCTCGGGCAAACTAATGCATATATCTTTTTATATAGCAACGAATATTGTACGAAGAAAATATCACTTTTCACGTGCGAAATCTTTAAACAATGGTTCATTGGTCGAGCGTGTAAATGCTAAATACGTGTAGCGTATTCAAGAATTTTTGCCAATTCACGTCGAGTGATTTGCGTTGAAATGTGATTAACGGCGTTCATAAATATTCATGATAATTCTAATACAAGAAATTGAAGAAAATAATGTACGAATCCAATCACGTTAGTGTTAATGTTAATATCCGCCGAGTCGAATTGCACAAAAGTGACAATTCCCTTTGAAATTTTTTTGCACTCGCGTTACCGCGAAATTCCAAGTATTTTCAAAATCGAGAGGGATGCGTCGGCGTTCGCGAAATTACGATTAGTGCAAAAGTTCACTGAAATTTCTAATGATTTTCTTGAATGATCGTAGGACGGCGAGTGATCAATAGGAGTGGGGAGTGTGTCATCGAGTTACTAGCCTTGATTCTTTGCCAAATAATTGATAGGGAAAGCGTACTGTTGTCACATTCTGGCGCTAATTTTACGAACATTATCTACGACGCATAATTGACAATTGTCATTGTTTTAATGACGTATCCACCATTATCATCTTCAAAGCACTGAAATATTTCATTCGAATCACGAAAGTTACATGTCACTCTTCTTTCCTTATTCTTCTTATTAATTAACGACTACCAATTTCAACGTGCTTAAATAATTATAATGCATAGCCACGTTTAAATTTATCTGTGATTAATTGATTAAAAATAACGAGTTCCGCTCGCGAGATGTTACACGTTTCATTATTGTTAACGTATTGTCAGTAAAATGAAATTTTATGGATTATATTCTTTGTATTATTGGTTTACGCGAGAGGAGTGATGAATTTATTGGTTTATCACTTCATGTATCACTTTGTTTGGTGTTGTAAGAAAAGATGGATCGAGATGACGAGGACTTTGGAGAGGGTTTCATCGCGGAATCTCATCCACTTAGGCCAACGCATCTTTCTGTCCCTGTTGGTGGTCGACCAGATTCCAGAGCACCTAGTATCAGTAGCAGTGTTAGTGACTTGGACGTACCAATTTATACTAGAGAAACCACTATACCTGTCTCAGCTGGAAAAGTGAGTACATTGCCTTCGTGTGAATTCAAGCTATAACCAAAAAATGTTTTTATTTCTATTAACATCTTTTTATTTTACACGCAATTAACACGATGGAACCATTATTAACATTAAACACGATGTAAAAGCTATGTAAAATAACCTGACGCAACGTATTTATAAAACAGCAACATATTTATTTATCAAATAGACATGCGAAAAAGAATGACTGATCTGAAACTGAAGTACAGGGAGTGAAACTTATAGATGCGAATATTATCAAACAATGAAATGAAAGGCACAATACTGTTGTTAATCTTTCCTACGTGCATGTGCATACATAAAAAGAAAAGTGTGTCGAAGGAAGAAAGGAAAACCTAATTGTATTCGTATTTAAAATTACCTAGCAACATAACGGCAACCAATCAAGAACACTATGAGAAATAAAACGACATTTAGATTTTTTTCTCGATGTTCGAAAACGATCTTAGAACTCTCGCGAAGAGAAGATAGAAATTAAACAATATATTAAATCGCTGTTGCTATACAATAATTGTAATCAATAAAACGTATAAACGATTGACAGAATTCTCCCAAGTAGTAGTTCTTGACCTTGCACATTGCAAATCATTGATCGATTCTTTGAAGTTCGCAGCAAATATTGTTAGTGTTTAGTGATGCTTTCTTGATCAAACGATCTGTGGTTTCTTCGAATGACGCAAGACATGCTCTAAACTATTGCACGTAGATACGTATGTATTTGACCTTAGTTAATAGAATTCTAAGCATTCAATTAATATGCCCTTAGTACCTATCGAATAATTAAACGATACTTATCGCTTGTTGTACTATGTCAATGTAGTATAATTCTGTAATATAATTTTATAAAATCTTACTTTAGTGATTTTTTTTTTCCTTTTTTTTTTATAGCAACGACGTAAACGTTCATCTCTTCGAAATTCTTTTGAAATGTAATTTCTTTTCTACAATCGTAACAAAAAGTTTATTCTCAAATATCTTCTTTACCATAAAAGTTTATTTTCAAATATCTTCTTTCAAATATCTTCTTTACCAATCTTTCAAATATCTTCTTTACCATAAAAGTTTATTCGAATATCTTCTTTTTTCTCGAATATCTTCTGTACCAAATATCTACATTTCCAACAATTTTGAAACTAGTAAAATTTTTAATCACAGTTGGAACAAAGTTTCGATCTTATATTGCAATTTAGTTGTTTGGAATAACTATCCTTTTAATGTGGTTCGATTTTATGTTATGCGTATGAAACATTAAGATCTTATGCTCTGATCAACAGGTGACTTTTCCCTTTCATTCGGTTCTTCGTATCGACTTACCAATAGCATTTTAACAACGTTATCTTATATTTTCCTAAATTTCGATTAGCTACTTTTTTCTTTCTCAAAACAATAAATGTTTTATTGTGGATATTGTTCATAGTGGATACTATGTTCTGCTTTAACGAATAATTATAGATGGAGCGTACAGAGTAAATGATTTGAGAACACTTGATAAGCTTAGCACGCAATTGGTCGAATCGGTGGGTGTGGACAAGGCACGTCACCTGTCGGTGTTCTCTAATTCCTTCAAGATATATTATCTGACGCAATCGCACGTGAATGTTACAATACCGTAAATGCAGAATACATTGAAACTATATCAAATTTATATCGAAACTATATGAATTATATGCCTTCATTTATTATGAAATTACTAACTACAAACCGCGTGTTCTTTTATTTGTTGAATCACAATTTTTTTAATTAAACGCAATTATCGAAAACTCTTATTCACTTGTAATTCCACCTCATTGCTGTAATATGTGAAAATCACGCATATCGGTTACGCAATTGGCACACGTTTTATACATTGTGTTTCTTTAATACATGCTTTCGTATAACACATGTAACGTAACTTTTGAAATGTATTATTCGGAACATAACTATGCCTTCTCAAGCAACTTTTTCCGACAAAAATATATGAACGTTCCCTAGTTATTTTAATGATTGTAACATATATTTATAAATTATAATTAAATCGTCAATAATTGTCTTAGAACTTTGGATTCAGTGAACGTCGCTGTCTTAAATAGAACATGATGTGAAATGTAAATAATTGTTTTATGACATCAACATGATAAAGGAAATGACTTGGTATTTCTTTTATATGAATTCCTCTTACAGACACGGTATATTAATATTAGAATTTTCTGTAATAATTTAAGTTTTTATTTTATATATTTATAATTATAAATTGCAACGAAGAAACTGGATTATTGTGAAACTCGAATTCATTTAAGGTCATTCACACTTGAATAAAGGCTCCATTGTTCTTGTTGTTTACTATTGGGGATATCATTTGCTATAGCATG